TGCATATGCGTGGGGTCCGTGTATTATTGTGTATAAGAGCTGTAAGTTGTAAATGTATTTAGATCACTCCATCAGTAGAGAATACAATTGGGATTAGATTAATCGCTGGAAGTGGTTAGCATTGCATAATTTAAGTACAAATTGCAAATTTCGACACGTTATAATGCTGTTTCCTGACCATCAGATTTCTGTCAAATCGTCCCCCAAAGTCCAGAAAATGGCATTTCAGAGACTCTAAATTCAAAAATTTTCCTGGGGGGGGGGCATGCCCCCGGACCCCCCTAGACAAACCTCGCACCTTCGGCGCTCGGCTCGTGCCTTCGACCCTCGTTTATCACGTGTAATATTATAGGGGCGCATATTGGTTGACAGCCCACTGGCCCCCCCAGAAAAATAGTACCCAGCACGCCACTGGTACATATAGTAATAGAAACGAGGGAACGTTCAAGATTTACAGAACCAGAGGACCAACTGGACACAGGACACATTAGCTTCCATTGGATTAATACAGTTTATGTTATAAACTCCATGCGTGTTCAATATAACAAAGCAATGCAATATTTGGCAATGTCATAATATTAACGATCAGTTCGCCGTTAAATATCATTTGAGCGTTGGCGATCGCTTATTAGCCTATACACAGCATGAAATTTGCGAGAATTTGAAGACATTTGAGGTTGCACTTAGTGTGCAAAAGGCAATTGCTTACACGCGTTTTGGCAAAGGCGCAAATTTAATGAAATGACAAAACATCAAGTTTTACAGAAGACCACATAGACGCATTTTTTATTCCAGATATATAGAGAATAATACATGGCCATGGGTGCGCAGGAATAGCAGTTTTATTTGGAGTGTTGAACATGATATATGAAGATTGAGCGCAGCGAATGAGTGAGATATCATGTTCAAGAAAAGAAACCAAGAAATCTGATATTTCCAAGCATGAATGTATTTTTCTGTTCATTATATAAAGGACAGTCTTTGAAAAGCGATATAATTTTTACAGAAAAGCGATAATTGAAAAGCGTTGATTCTCACATGTGAAATTATCACAAATAATGTCACATGTGAGATTACCGGTTTGATGAGTGCTCGAAATGTTTATAAAGCAATATAATTCATATACTAAAAGCTTTTATTATACTGTATAAAGTATAGTGCTTTCTAGAGATTTGGAGCACTGATAAAAATGTAATCTCAAATGTGAGATTGTTTATGATAATTTCACATCGAAAATTATCGGGTTTTCAATTATCGCTTTTCTGTAAAAATTATGGCTTTTCAAAGACTGTCCTTTATATAATCAACCGAAAAAAAACATCGGCATGGATCGCTTTGAAATTCCACATTTATTTTTCGTGTTGAACAGGCGACCGAAGTAAAAGTCACATGTAGCCTGCGTAGCAGGCGTTTAGTGCGGGCGGGAGAAGAGAGGCACATGCCATTTGCACGCCATGTATTACAAATAATTTAATCTCAGCGGCCTATTTGAATTGTTTCGCGTTTATGTTATGGGCAATAAAATATTTCTGTCTAGCATTAATATGTTTGGGATATAGAAGTAAGGATAATATTAAGTTAGAGATGAAGTTTGATGAAGGTAGATATCGGAAACAGAATTTTAAATCTTGACCAAGATAGCTGCAATATTGTAGCGGTGTCAACACTCGCCTTAAGGTCATAAAATTAGTCGCCTGGGCACGCCAAGAAAGTTGAATTTAATTCTACCTACAGGGCGCGTGTCCGCCAGCCTTGAGGCGGACAAAAAATGCACAGGTTAGGCAAGTACAGAAGAAAGTTGAGTAATGTTCGCTCCGCCCGCGCGGGCAAAGCGACTGCAATGGAAAATGGCCTTTAGGCGAGGGTGAAACGTCCAACTTTTGATGCGCCGAAGGTAATGTTAATGAGCTAAGTTCTTTATTTCACTTCATTTGCATTAGGTTTGGCGCATGCAAAGTTAGACGTTTGACCCTGGCCTTAGTCATTAGAATCGGACAGAAAATTTGCACATTCAATGGTATAAAAGTTATAATCATGCAGAACGGCCTGTGAGAACATGTGTATAGTAACTTTAACAATGCAAGTGTCCATGCCCATGGTTATATGAAATAAAATAGAAGTATACTGCTGCAGTCAAGATAGGATATAAAGCGTTTTGGTTTGAGGTATACCTGTTTTCAGAACAACTGCTAACCATACAACAATAGGCTCATCCCAACCATCTTTAACCGTCACCGATGCATGGCCCAAAACAAATGAAACCACCGTCACAAGCGCCAGCAACACTGTTGTCTTCTGCTGCTTCATTCGCTTTCCCCAGATTTCGCATATCTTTACGAAAATGTTTTGGGAAAAAAAGTGAATCATTTTGTAAATGTATATGGTATTCCTACAATCAAATCATACATTTAATATGAATAATTGAGGTAAGATGATGCGTATAGAACAACTTACATTCTGAAGCTTCTTCGGGATCAACTCCCAGTCAAAATCCAACTGGTAACACCGTTCGAGATTCGTTTCCATCACGTGATCGTTTGTCCATGCCATGACCGCATATAATGTTAAACGTGATGCTTGACCAGCAGGAAAAGAGACTAAATGAATCAAGTCCACCTCTATATATGCTACATGACATGCATGTCAGAAAGTGGTGTAGAATTACAATTTGAGTTTGCAAGTCAAAGTGTGAACTGTGAAGCGAAAAGGTTTGTGGTGTAATATGAGACAGTTAATGCAAATCTGTTGAGTTATTTAACTGATTTGCATTACTATTTGCATTATATATGTTATTGTATTAGGAAAATGAGTAGCATTCAATAATTTTTTTTTAGCCGTTCTTTTTGGTATTTTGGACTCACCCTTTATTATTATTAAGTGTTAGCATGACATGACAAATATTATATTGAAGTATTTGTTGATAAAAAATACTGCTCTAAATGCGTTAATTGTTAATAGTTCTATTAAACAAACGAAAAAGAACGAACGCGGAAAATTACTTGCGAAATTTAAAGCTGCAGTGAAATTAAGTCGCACGAACTTAAAGGTGAGTGAAAATTAGTAGGAGGCGAATTTTAATACAAGGAAGGTAGTTGCATCCCTATACCGACCAAAACTATTGTTATTATTGGCACTACCTACACTGGCACAGACCGTTCAAGATTATATGCACATAAAGACCGCTAAGTTAAATGAATAATATAGTGTGAAAAAAGAAGATGTCATGTAGGTAGAATTTGACATGTGAATGATTTATTGGTGTTTTTTAGTTCAAGCGAAAGTGAGATGACAGCTATTTCCTGCTAATATCGTATAAACATAAAAAGTGTAAAAATAATGGGCGTAAGTGTTACGCAGGCCGAGTAGTCAGTATAAAAATCTATTAAACGTCAAATTAAACGCAACTTGAAGGCAATTGATTATTACAAGTATGACAAATTGCCTGTCCTCTCTTGGTGAAGGGATAGCATCGGGGATGCAGATGCTTGCGATGGCATTGGCTGGGCCACAGCAACACGTCCGTGCGCCATACCCTCCTCTCCCATATCAACCCAATTTTAATGGCATGCCTACAATACCTATTTATCATAACCACTATCAGCCAAGACAGCCACAACCCTACCTACACCCAGGAAATGAATCTCCAAGAAATGCTCATCAGTTTCTTGGAGATGAAGAAGAAAATGATCTTCATTCTCTATGAATTTAAACTTTTAGGGTAATTTGGGGGTTATTGGGATCATTTGTAGAACTATTAGATACTTTTATTTATTTGAACTGAAACAGTTTTGTTGAATAATGAAAGATAGAAGGGGATGCACACTTGTTTTGTTCGAATGCACACTATTAGTGGAGACACTGGTCACAGAGCATTTTTAAGCTGCAATAATAAGATATACTATAATGAGGACAGATTTTAATAATTTTGAAATGAACCAATACTAGCCGACAATTTCAAAAAATACAAAACAAAACATAATCCGAAGATTAACATCTTGAAATCCAAAATATAGGAATGTTCAACACTCGAAAGTTAAAACAAGACAGGAATGAGTTCATGATTTTTCGACTTTATCACAAAATCATCATCAGACTAACTAATAATCTGATGATGATTTTGTAATAAAATCAAAATATCACGAACTCATTCTTGTCTTGTTTTAACCTATATCTTGGGTTTCAAGATGTTAATCTTCGGATTATGTTTTGTTTTGAGCTCCATGAACCAATAGTTTCTTTCCAGAAGATTATAATGTGTCCTAATTTCACTATTATGAATTGTGACAAACCAATCACAGTTTCATAGTTTAGTTAGTATACAAAATGTACAAGATGAGCTTTGCACAAGGTGAAGTCATCAAATTTAAATTTATTATATAATATTTGAGTGTGTTGATGTAAAAGTTTTGTGACATAAAAAAGTTCTTATATATTTTTGCATTGTGCATTTTACCTAGTTTGTGCATTTTACCTGTGCATTTTTACATGTGCATGTCAAACACTGAACAGTTCCCCACTAGTTCTCTCCAACCTCATCTTGAACTTTTACCAGAATATGACACAATTGTCACCGTTGCAGTAATAACAATAATGCAATATGGTGCCTCTTTCTGAACTTTCAATTTATATAAATCACACATTATTTCTTGCATGGCTTTTCCTTTCAAAATAAATATACTTAATAAGGAAATTTAAGAAATACCGGTTTCAGAGAAACTAATGGGGAATGTGTTCTCGGTACATCCTTGTTATGATATTTCTAACCTGTGTTCCCTCAGCAGTGTTACATGAATATAGACAATCTGCAACTACGTATTTGGCTGTGTTATTATTATTATTATTATTAAGTTATGAAGTACAAAACAGGCATAAACTATCTCCGGAATAAATGTCAATTGCATGTTAATTCTTTTGTTTAATATTTGCCATCGGGCTTTTAAACGTCCAAAAGCGCATTCTACTGGATTTCGTGCAATTCGAAGCATATTGTTAAATATGACCTCCTCGTTCGATTGTGGACTGGGGTACTCCTTCATGCAGAATGGTAGTAAAGGGTACGCTGGGTCACCTAGAAATATGGTAGGGATCTTGTCATAACCAATAAAATTTTCTTGGTAAACCATTAGCAGTCTCTGTTCTTTAAGGAGGGTAGTTATTTTTGAGTTTTCAAATACACGCCTATCATGGACGCTGCCTGGCCAGCGAGAATCGGCATTGAGGAATAAGCCTCTCCAGTTGCATACAGCTTGTACATTTAATGTGTATTTCATTTTGTAGCTGAAATAGTCGTGAGGATTTTCTGAGGGCTGTGTAATGGGGATATGTGTACCATCCACACAACCAAACGCTTGTGGAAATCCATATTTATTTTCCATTTGCTTAATTTCTTGCCTCATTTCTTGTTCTGATGAAGGGAGTTTAATATATATAGCTCCCAAATGTTTAGTTAATACCCGTCAAACCTTCCGTACAACAACAGAAACAGTACAAATGGCAACACCAAATGCATTTGCAGTCATGGAGAGAGATCCTTGATCCTTTAAAAAGTACATGCCATGTCATTGCCAGTTGTTTCTCCACAGTTATAAAATCGTCTCGAGGTCCTCCTACACCTGGCGCCAAGTAAGGTCGCAATTCGTCCGCTAATTGCATAAAAACCTGCTTCTCCATTCTTAGATTTTTATTCCACTCGGACATAGGCAAGATTTCGTTCAGAGGGTTAGCCACCACTGCTCAGTTCTACCAGGAATACGCCAAAATCTTCGACGACGTCTAACAATTCGTAGGCCTACTCTGGGGCGGTAAATCGCCTTAAATCGCTGCGATATAATGCGATTTTGGGCGATTTTAGGCGATTTAAGCAAAAACTTCGACTTTCAAGCACTGCGATTTAGTGCGATTTAGTGCGATTTTAGGCGATTTAAGAAAAAAATTTTAATTTTAGGGATTGCAATTTAGGTGTTTTCAAAGGAATTGAATTCTATATTTTGCTCCGATTTCCTCCCACAGGGCAAAATTGGCAGGGTGGGTTAGGATAAACACAGTTAGGAAAGTAATATCATATCCTCATTGTTGTAAAGATAAATAGTCTAGGCTAACATAAGTAATCATAGTACTTGATGTAATCGACTAATCGATCACTGAAAAGCCCCAATGTGGGGAGTGAGCTGAATAATAATGTAATGTTTCCACACACATATGCATTGTATGAGGCAAAATACAATTATTAGAACATGTATGTAGATTTTATATAAAGCTAGGTTAACTATTGTATTTAATCTGATTCACATATAAAGCTCAATATTCATGAACTTTTCAACCATTCTCTCTATTTAAAAGCCATTGGGGTTCATCTTGGGGGTCATAGCAGGGTGTTAGCTAGCCCATATGCTGTTCGTTTGACGGACTCTTCCCAATTGAGGGCTTTCCCAACTGGGTCTACTGGAAAATTAGCACGTGTCCCCCAAAATTTTAATGGTTGGGCGAAAATCAATGCGAAATTGGTCGAAATTTCAATATTCTGTGAAAAAATTTTCGGATTTGGCGGAAATTACGGAATATTTCTTTGATATCTCCTGAAAATTGTTTTTGGTGACCCCCCTCCCCAAGAATTTTGGGAAAAATATTCAGCTAAGTCCAGTTAAAACTTTCCCAATTTACGTTTAACGGACAAAATGTTTTTTTCTGGCTAACACCCTGCATAGCTACATTTATATACACCACAAATATTGTAATTAACAATTATTCGCCGAAGGCGAAGTGATTACCGGTGAATATTCACCGAGACGAAGTCGAGGTGAATATTCACCGTAATCACTGAGCCTGAGGCGAATAATTGTTTTAGTATAAATTTTTAATGAATAAAACAAAATATCCAAGATATCCAACTATAAGTTTAATTAAAATTCAGAAATAAAACTGTTTTCGACCGGTTTCACAGCGATTTCAAGCTTTCTTTGCTAGACCAGAGTACCTTGCGAGTTTCCAGTGAGCTTGCGAGTCGTGTTGTTAGCGGTTGTACCTACAGAGCATGCGTGCGGTGCTGTTTATATTTTCAAGATGGCGGCCGTTTTGTCGCCTCTTGGAAATGATCTTGAAATTACTCCCTCCGTGGACGTTTTAAAGCAACTCTTTCGTAAACAAGTGATACTTTTTGAAAAAAAATTAATGAGAAAGATTATCGACAACAATTTCTTTCGAGTAACATCAGACAAACCCATGGAAAAATGTGTTGTTGTTGATGAGTTTAGGCTCGTGTTCATGAAATCCTTGGCTGATCGGTTCAAGACGTCTGAAAGAGTCTATGGTCTGCCTGTTTGTTTTGTTTTCGACACTCTGGACCGCATGATGGAATTATATAGTGCCAAAACATTGGTTAGAAGATTCAGAACTGGTGATTTCGCCGTGATTTTACCTTTCTTCGTTGTTGCTTGTGATATTGACATTATTACTCAAGAAACACTATTTACCGGTCAACTTGTTTTTGCCATCGAGAAAGCTGGCGACTGTTTCAAGTGTTTAATCCCATTTGGTGGTACAGATCCCAATGCTGAAGATCAGACGGCAATTCCAAAGGGATATGTTAACACATACATCGAAACAAGCAAAGAGAGACTTTGGTTTCCTAGTTACAAAGGTGAAGGTGCTTTAATTGTGGAAAAAGGATTTAATTTTGTCTATTCACCATGTAATGTGATAAAGCCAGACAGTGTTATTGTACTGCGAGAGAAGGAATATGAAGTAATTTCGGTTGTGAATGACACCTTCAACTCAACTAGAGATCTTGTTCGTTTAAACTATGCCCCTGATTTTAATTCAAAGCACTGTGCATATCAGGTTAAAAGACCAGTTGAAATTCTTGCCAGATGTTTGGATATCCCGTGTGATAAAATTATCGGCATCCGGAAAATGAAATTGATTTACAAAGAGGGCAAAACATCCACTTATGGCCGCATTGAACTGCGATTCTGGAATGCAGCTTTTAATAAAATGGGCATTTTAACACAGGATATTGCAATTCCTGCTGCTGAAGTTGAAGCATTACGTTGAAGTACTTTTTCACACATTTTAATATTGACGTTATAAGAAGGTACTTTATATTATTTGACCTCGATAAGTTGATAGATATAAATGATGACTTTGTCTCCATGCAAAATGCCTACAAAATTGCTATACTTATTGCTTTAATTGCCAAAATCAAGTAAATGAAAAGCTTTGTTGATAATTTGATGCAATTAAAAGTTTATTATTATTATAAACAGAAAATTTCAGTTGATTTTTATTCTCTTTTTTCATATCTCACTTGTTTGTTTTGCTCACTGTTGAGATATAGCAGAAACTCAAATCTAAAAGTTAAATGAAATGAATAGTCAAAATAAATAGTAAAATAATAAATAATTTATTAACAGTTTGCTCCAATCTGTACAATAAAATATATTAATAATTTACAATATATACAATATGTACATGCCTATATTTGGCAGTTACATGTCTGTAGTCGCCTCATTGTCTGAGTCTTCAAAGTGGATAGCTGGCTGAGATGGGTGCATTGGACAGCTTTTGTTTTTTTTGTTATGGCCTGGCTGTTGGCAAGCAGAGCAAGTGATGTTTCGTTTCTCTGTGAACAATGTGTACGTATAATGGAACTGCTGTGTACGAATTCTTTTGGTAATGGTCACAAACCTCTTCACATCCCGGTTGGTACTACTCCATTCCAATGTTTTAATGGATTTGTTTAAATGCTCTGAAGCCACACAACTAAAGTACCCATACCCCCAACCAAGCATCTCAAACCAAAACATAATTTGTTGTGGTATATGGTCTCTTAGAATATGCAAATAGGGGAGGTTTGCAGTGCATTGGGCTGGACCATACTCTTTCAGCTTTTGAAAAAACAATTCAGACCTCTCCTTGAATGACGACACTCGAGCAAGAGTTGTTTTATAGTCACGGATATCTCTGAAATTAAAACATAGTTTGTCATTTCACTTTTTTCATTTAATTAACATTTATCAATGTTTGCATAATCCAGTAATGCATCTAGTGAGGTGGTAACCTCAGCAAAGTACGCCCACCGTTGGAGGTTAATCTAACAAACAAACTCTTAGCTTGACTAACTTCCTACCTATTGCTATTAACTGTAGTTACATGAATGAAACTATCTAATACATCCTTCCAATAAGTACATCATTTGGCCTGGGAGTCTCACTCTCGTGAAAGCGAGGCTCCCAGGCCAAAAAAGTTTTGTGAGGAAATTATCGAAAAAGTGTATTATTAATCATCTGCCTTTACCTCACAGAGACAATCCCTCACAAGAGCCCAAATTATCTAACTACAAATTTTCACTTCAGGCACGGATTCTCTTGGGGGGGGGGGGTGCACCCCCCAGAAAATCTTTGCACCCCAAAAAAATGTTCCCACCCTCCAAAAGAAATTGCCACCCCCTCAGAAAATTAGATGCTAATTGGCTCTAATGACAGTAGTGATGTAGTATGATTGAAATAAAGTTATAGATTTTACTTGCAGCCCTTCTGAAATTTTTCCACCCCCCAGGGACAAAATCTGAAAATCCGTCTCTGTTTAATTGTTTGGCAATTTATTTAACTCTAGTAAAAGTATCTACTAGCTAACCTTGCTATATCGTCAAACTGAGTGTACAAAGAATGTAACTGTCTCAACTTCAAAAAACTAGGAGAATTCCATGTCTCACCTGTCTAAAATGTTAAAAAAACTGACTTCAAAATGCTTATTCATACACATATAAATTTCACTTAATCATTTGGTTTCGCATAAATTAATATTCAATCTCCCTACATGCTGCAGTGGCATAGCCAACCTGACGATTTTGTCCTGCTATGCACATTTTGCCATGTTCACAGACTGTAAAAACAATCAATTTCCAAAGAAACAAATAAGGAAAATGAGTTTATAATTATTTGCATAGCGGGACAAAATTGACGGGCTAGCTACACTACTGCCTACATGTATATGAATTACCTTCACAAAATGTTCAATTAGCTTCTTGCAGTTATCTTCCAACAACTTGCAATCATTTCCAGTCATTTTTAATGTACTACTGCCATCATAGAATTTCTTTTTGCTAGAAATAGATGCATGCTTATCGTAACCTTATATCCAGCGCAAAGAAGTGGTATATTTCATGAAGTGTTAATGTGATTATCATTACTATGAAATTGTTAATTTATTTACCTTTTGTAATAAGCTTCTATTTGGTAGGCAAGATATCCACAATTAATATCTCGTAATGCAGCAGGCAACTCTGTTTCCTGGCCCCTTTTTGAAACTATTCCATAAAGCATTTTCCATAAACTTCTGTGTATAGCAAGAATCAGGTGCAACCCACATGGAACAAGACAACTTTCACTAAATGCAGAAAATATTGGAATTCCCTAAAGAAAAAATGAAAAGTTCCAAACCGTCAAATGTAATAAATGATGTAGAACAACTCAGTCTGTTAAGTCTTGGTCGTTTGCTAGATAGCTGAAAAACAGTTTGTTTAAAATCAGTTTCATCAACAACCTGTTAAAGTGATATTTATGGTGAACTGGTAATTAAGAGAACCTTATGTTATAAAGTACATTAATTATACTTAATTATTATTATTATTTATACATTAATTTTACTTACAGTTTGACCAAAATGTGTCTGTTGGAATTTTGTATAAGCTGCAGAACCTTTAAGAGGGTTGTCTCCAAGATCTTTCTCGGCTTGTTTACCCCACTTTTCCATATCTGCAACAGTTTGGCGTGGTGAAGTTGATGGTTGACTGTTATCCCAGGTGGACAATTTCTTTTTACACCAGTAGCAACCATACATTCCAGTGCATTGACATTTCCCGAGAGTTTCTTTTAAGTGACAGAGGTCAGCAATAAAGAAAGCAATTACATTAAATGTCTCACAAGATCCATTTACTGTCAAAGCCAAACCCTGTTCCACTGCCTGAGTTACATCCTTGTAATGACCTTTCATGTGGGCTTGGATGTATTTTCTGTTTTCAGGACCTCTCCAAATCGATGATAAGAATTGTCCATTAGGAGAATTGATCAAATCCGTTAGATTTAGAATTGAGAATGACATTTGCTCGGTAGGTTGGCAAGCACCAGCTCTGAAATTATCACCAGTCTCCCTCAAGAAAAGTGTCCTTTTATCTACATCTAACCCTTTGTACAAAGAATCTCTTTCTTTTTTTAAGTGCCCAAACAGTTGAATTTGCTGTTCAACGCTTGGGAACTGAAATTTCGAAAATAATGCATCAGTTGATACAATCCTTTGAAGAGTGTCACCAAATTTGGTAGTTGCACACATGCAATCCATGTTTCCATCCGAAACATTAGGGTCATTTTCGTGGCATTTATGGAAATCAATTGAGCCCACGTCCAATTCAGAAGCATATTTAACAGCATCTGTGTATTTTGCCAGGTGCACATTCCCTTTCATTAGGGTTTTCCTCGCCGCAATATATTCTCGTTGGGTTAAACGTGTCCGGCCAAGTAGGAATTCAGCTGAATCATGTACACAAATGTGCCTTGGACAAGACTTGTTTAACTGGGATACTATGTCCTGACCCAATTCAGTTTCATTTATGGCACTGGCAACAAGTTCGGGATCATTCTCACAGAGATAGACGACATAGCTTTTTACATCATTAAATGAAGTAAATTGTACTGCTTCGTGCACCAAAGTATTTCTATCTTTTTGAGATTTAACCTGCAAACTACTCGTTGGCCCAGCATTTCGCGTCTTAGTTTTCGATAGCTTTTCAAGCAAAGGATATGGCATAAGTGCCGCAGCTGGTTTCCGCTTTATTCTAGAGGCACCGTCCAAGTTTTTTGGCTCTAAACTCTCTGTAGGTTTTCTCTTTCTTACATTTACCTCGCTTGAAGTTGAACACTGATGTATTTGTTGAATAACTTCAGGCCTTGTAAGCCCAAAGAACTCATAGCCAGATAGATTTTTCTTGTAGTTCTCTAATTTCAAGTATTCAAAAACCTTATTCAATGTTGTTGTTGGTTTGGTCTCAGCAGAAGTAAATATGGTATGGCCGTCTTGTAGTACTTCACACTGAAAGAGTGGTCCAAATTCACCAAGTTCACTTTGTTGTATTAGCTGACATGACACTTCATAGGATTTCCCATTATGCCGAATTAACTGTCTAGCATCATAACCAGGACGAAGTAACACACATTTCCCATTGTGCCGATAAGACCACTTTACTGAGTTAGGTGTGTCTTTTCCAACAGATTTTATTCCCAGCCAATTAACAACTTTCCCAGATTTCTTAACAATGTTAATTAGAGTGCTGTCACTTCCTGCAGTGGTAATTAATGTAGCCTGTTCAGTAGTGTCGACATCTTTATCTAGATTTCGTACTTCAGCAGATTCCGCTACTGGCTGTTTGTTAGTTTGGAGCTGTTCTAAAACGTCATGCCTTAAAAAGCCAAAAAACATTGGCCCAGACCAATGTTTTTTAGTTACTCTTATCTCATCTAGAAATTTATTTGCAGCTTGAGTTGGAGTTGTAGCAACAATATTAATTCCTTTTGCTTCGCATGTGCACTTGAATAAAGGTACTGTAACTGTTCGTGGCTTAATAATCTCACAAAAAACTTGAATATTCTCCTCAGTGTCAAGTCTGATAGCCCTTTCTGCTTTATACCCTGGTCTAAGAAAATACTGCTCACCTTTAGACGAGGAACGAACCCAAGGACTGTCTTTCTTGTATTCAATTCCAACAGAGTGACCAAGAGATACCAAACGAACCCACTTAATAGTTTGCTTGCTCATTTGCAATTTTAATATAACTTATATATTTAATCCATTAAGTGATCCTCGAAGATTTGTCAATATATTTGCAGCACTTTTATTGTATAAAACACTTTTTAAAAGGTCTTCTAAAAGCAAGATCCCTTTCATCCCTTCAAATCCCCGAAACAGATCCCTTTCACCAAACCGCAAAGAAAAAAACATATGTTCTGTCAAATTAAACAAGTTTCACACCATTGAAAAGCTTAAAAATCGCCTATTCGGCTGGCCATCTTGAAAATAAATTTGCGTTAATGTGCGCATGTCAGGTTGAGGTAACGGCGCTGAATGCGTCATTTTCGTGCCCGCGCGTGAATCGGGTGCTGAGAGAAATCGAACAAATTACAGCATGCGTAAATTGTTTCAAATCGCCGTGTAGCTCTGTAATGAATATACCGTCTAAATATTATCGGCACTTAATTGAACGCCCGTAATGCATAAGATCAATTTATATATTGCGTAGATTTTCAAAGATTACTCAATATTCACGTCTGAAATCTTTATACATCTGAAAACAACACTGTCACCCCTTCCTAGCATATCGTCACGCCACGTGATCTACGGCTTGATAGCGCATGCGCATTTGCGCTACTAAAGAACAAATCGGGTGTTCCGGGGTAAAGATCCTTTACACAACATGAGAAGCGAATGTTCTAAAATTTACAAAAAAATACAATAACGAAAGCGATTCCTCGAAATTTTTGTGAACTTGGCAAAAGGATAACAGAATATGTAAATAAGTTAACTGAAATTGCCTAAATAACCTTCAAAGTACTGACTAAGTACAATAAATCACTGCGAACATAAATCGTATACACCCCCGGAAAGTTTACTCTATGACTGTTTGACTGATTCGTGTGAATTCACCAGCCATCACAATAGTGTGAAGTGAAACTTCACACTAATAAAAACGGCATAAACTATGAAATTTGCAAGAATTTATCAAGATGATATTTCAATATATTAAAAATGTTACATGCAAATCGAAGCATGTAAACTCTTGAAACTTTATTTGCCAATATTTGGCGCTCTGAGCCTCGGAACAAATTGTGGTTCCACTTTCGCAATAAATTAAATAGTACGTCATGTAGGCTATCATGTCATGTGCAGTGATCTCGTTGAAAATTATTTCAGCCATTTTTCCGAATTTTTGTCGTAACGTTGTATTTTTTATTTCTCACTTTCAACAAAACAAGAAAAGGAATTTTCAACTTGCTCCTTGGAAAAGGAACACGTTCCTTGCTGTTGTAATTAATTACGTTTTTCGTTACATTTCTAAAATCGTAATTAATTAGAGGTTAAAATTACTTCAAATGTAACGAGTACACAGTAACGCGTTACAATTGTAACGAGTATTTACAGCCCTCTGTAAACCATTGAAACGAGTAAACTAAAGTCTACAGGAGGAATTTGTAAAAAAGAAGAGAAGCTAAACGAGTAAAGAGTGGGGACTAATTATTTGTTATGGCAAAACATAAATAATCCGAACTGTTCACTTGCAGGTGCACCCATTACAGTGTAAACATGCCAAGTTTGACTAAATTTTATTAAGTTATCATCAAAGATATCAGACTTTCTTGACACGATCTCACGGTGACGTCACAACGTCAAAATATTTTAAAAAAAGCGAGATAAATTGAATATGAATAAACTGTTACAGTCACTCTTCATCATTGAAGCTGTATTTTTGAGCGAAACAAAACCTCTACAGACTGAAATTAAAGAATCAATCAATCAAGATTACGTTCATTTCCACGCAGTGTAGGACATCATTTACAAAGGTCTGCTTTAGCTACTGTTTTAATATTGTAGTTTCCTTTTTTGTTTTTACTTAATCCCCCCTCCCCATCAATATAAAACGTAAACTTAAAAATAACACTGCTTGTTGTTTATAGACAGTCATATTCTATTTTGTATATATATATACGAGCAGTGAGGCAGCTATAAATTTTATACAGTTGTTATTCAGTTGACAGCTATAGTTTTTCATTATAAAGCGCTCAACATTGGCATTGATTTTATTTCCCAGATTCCACTAACAAACATTTTAAAATTATTTATATATTCATAGGTATACAGATTTGCTTTGTAAATAACCTAAAAACTAAACTCATCTTTGTCAACTTGTTTTTATATTATTTTATAGTCTTTTATATCGTATAACATGGCCTGAAACAGACTACCTGACTGTCGCCTGAACTACCGCAAAATAAGCTTTTTTAAAAGTCTTGCGTGAGGCCCCACGGCAATAACACAAGACAGTTTTTATATATACAATATGTATCCATGCTATAGCATTCCGTGGACGAAATATAAAAAAATTCACGATTATCGCACATAGTAAATTAACCTTTCAACTTATGCATGTACTTTTATTGTATTTACCTAGCTTTAATTCTATTAGTTTATACATATGCAGAGAAAGCATTAAACAAAAATGAGAAATTATAAGACTTCAAAAGCTTACAGACTGCAGACATATTAAATATACACGCATTCAGTCACAACACGCGAATTGCTATAAATAGCAACGTTACAGTCTTGACTAGTAATGATATGATGATTTGTTGTGCTTTTGTTGTAAGTAGGCCTATCACTAAAATATATTGAAAATACTTTTAAACGATTCTTTATAAAGTATACAAAGCATATACATTGATATCGAAACACAAAATTCAAACTTTTGAACAATTTGAGCTTCTTGACTCTGGTATAGACGTATGGGCCTAATGATTTAATTGTGTTACATTCCACTGAAAATCACCAAAATGAGCTTTTTTAAAAGTCTCGCGTGAGGCTTCAAGGCAATAACCCAAGCTAGTTTTTATATATAACATGTACTCATGCTATACCATTCCGTGGATGAAATATAAACAAATTCACGATCATCGCACATAGTAAATTTCCCCTTCAAATCCAGTGACAAAATGCAATTCTCAAATTTGACTAAAAATAGCCAATTTCAACAACGTCTGTCAGGCCAGCTAAAGCCTCCTGGGCCATTCCATATTGATAAAATTGTTCTTTAATACTTGAATTATAGTCATTATACCATCAAAACTATCTACGGGCAGTTTTGAATCCGTCGCGAAGTGATGAAACTGACCATGGCAGCGGCTTTGTCTGCGGCTAATTATAGCCTCCTGGAGACAAATTCTTGATTTCTGATATTTGTACGTTTATCGACCAAATATTGAAAATCTAACCCAAACACCATTTATAACTAGGTATTACCTTAATTTGAGCAAAATATGAACGAAATCCATTTTTCATGTATTGCCGCAGAATTCAAATTTTGCTCGATTTTTACGGACAGTCGCTCTTAATGCGATTTTAAGCATGGGCGTACGGAAAGGAAAATATTAGGGGGTTGGAAAGAAGTGATTGGGGGGGGGGGGAGAAGTGATTACAAAAAAATCCTATTAGATAGCATATTTCCCACATAATTGACAGAATTTGTCCCATTTATTTCTATAATAAACCAATATTGCGCGACTGTGAAGCGAATATTGCCCGGCTGGCTTTGTTTGCCCAACAAAGCCAGGGGGCGACCGCCCAGCCAGAAACTGGGGGGGAGGCGGTCGCCTCGTCCCCCACCCACCCATTACGCCCATGATTTTAAGCGATTTTAGGCGATTTACAGCGATTTTAGGCGATTTAAGAGAAATTTGACCATTTTAACCCGCGATTTTGGGCGATTTTAGGCGATTTAAGGCGATTAACCGCCCCAGAGTAGGCCTACTCAACTAAATGTGAAATCATTCAACTAAATGTGAAATGATTCAACAAGATGTGATAAGATACATAACCACATTCCTCGCAATAATTTAAAAGTGGTCAACCGTACAAAATCCACTTGTTTGTCCAGTGCCGTAGCAAGCTCGATAATTGGGGGGCCTCATATTCATATATTCGTGTTCTGCGTTATTTATTTATTTTGAAATCGATTGCTTTTATGGTCTGTGAACACGGGCACTGTTGTTCAAAATATACATACACAATTGATTGAAACTGAGCTTAATTGCACTCGCAAACATTCATTTAACTCCAGAATAGTGCCACGTACACTTGTCATCGTAACTGCATTCTACCAACCGCAGATTTTGTCTGTTGAAACGGTAAGAACTTCATTTACTTTGTTCGCTAATGATCAAAGCATGCATAGACATTCAATGAATTAAGATTGTTATATTAATTGTAGCTAAATAATAACAAACCCCCGACTTTGTTGTAGGCCTATTATCCATACAGCCATAGAGAGTAACTGATATTCTGTCCAACAAATTAAGTTTTTGCTGCGCATGAAGCTTGAAGCAAGCCAGCTGTTCATTTGCTGATTTTCTGTTTAATATATCATTCAAATATATGTATGCATATATCGACAGTTGATTTAAGGTAGTCATGCTGGAAATATCAAGAAAACTCTGATGTAGAATATTAGTCGCATGCATGCAGGGAGTATTATAGAGTGCATGAAAATGATCAGAGGTTTCGCTCAAACGGCAAGTCAGTTTATTTGGTAAATTAACGATCAAAGGATATATGTGCAATCAGTTGATTGAAGCTTGCTATCGTGAATTAATGAAACCCTGCCATAATAATCAGTAGTCTCAACAACCATGTATATTTCTGAAACTGTAGTAAGCAATTCAGTTCATTTGGTTTGCCAATGTCGGAGTTGGCGTGCGTTTAATGTGTCGGCCGTATCTTGTGCATGTATGTGTATCGTCTGTATAATCTTCTGCGGGAACTGTATCGTTGCTTCTACCATGCAGCTATTCAAATGCATCATATTAAATCGGTCAAGTATTAAAAAAATGTTCAATGTTCGGTTCAGTTCAGCAGTCAAGTCGAGAGACTCGAGCTGAGACACTATCAAAATTCGTGGGTTTTCTTCAATCAATTCGGTTTCTTTTCAAATGGAATGATATTGACAGGGCGGGTTGCTTATATATATGACAACCAAGACACAGAAAGCTGCA